GGACGACCTGCATCCAGCATGTTTAATAGCCATTTGTCTGTAGGAGGTTTGCTATCTGGGAGAATCCATAGCCGATCGCATGCACTGTACGTGCCGGGTCACTTCTTGAGAGACCGCCACCTTTGAACCGCAGAAGACGAAGAGAGAGATAATGAAAGAGAAAGATGTTCGAGTAGAAAATATTACTGAACTGCGCTGTGCCATATTTGTAAGTTCAATTCTAGTGTCCGATTATTGTGGATTGACAATCTGTCACGATCTCTAGCGGTCCAGATAAAGAAAGAAATGTTTGGTATGACTTTCAAATGTATGGCTCGTGGTGTATCGTCATTTTCACAATATAATGGGATTTAATACTTCTCTGTTATAACTAGCTCAGAATTACACAGTTTTAGCTAGAAACATTCACAGTCAATTCGGCTGATTAAGACTTCCAACCTCTTGTGGAATCCAAAACACATTCACGAATCTCCAACGCTACATCACGTTTTAAAAGTTACATCACACATCAAAGATACACGGAAGATAAAGCAATCTGAAAACGATATATCTCGTTCGTAAAATGAAAAGTGTCAATTGTGCATTTCAGAAATTCTCACGGATTTTATTTTAATTAATATTAGCATAAAATAAAATTTCCGTAAAGTATAATGAAAATCCACCAAGTTGTTCAAAAGTAATTTAACTAGTCAGGTATACACTCACACAAACGTTTAATCATTTGTAACATGATTTAAAAAATCCTGCCTTTTATTAGAAAGTAAAATATGGTAAAGTAAAAGACGACAGATAAATTAAATAGTAAAAACAATCCCTTGCCGATATTAAACCTTTAAAGTCGAAGCTGATTTAAATACTTTATAAAAATGTAATTCCTACCGCAAATGAAACACAACACTTTTTTTTATTGCGAATGAAGGTGACGACATCCAGGTTTGGAGGATTTCTGTCGGTATTTTAAAGAAACAGTCTGGAGGGTTGGTCCTTTAGCTTGGGGGTTGAGCGCAGGGTTAATACCTCCTTACTGCAAAAAATAATCTGTATCATGTTATGTAAATTTTAAATAACTTTGGATTGAGGGGTTAATTATGAACGGCATACTGGATCAATGATATTTTATGATATTATCTGATCTGCTGTCAGACGATGTCTCTCATATATTGAACTGTTTTTCTAACAGCTTTAAATTTTTCCTGTACCTTTATTTTATCAAAATGAGTTATAGAAATGAGCTCGTAACGTTGTATTTGTTCACTGATATATGAAAAAAGCATGATGGAAATGTTGACAGCTCAGAATTACGCCATAAATCATACAACAAATATTTTTCATTACATCGTTGTTACAGTCAGAAGAGCTACGTGCGTATGGATGGTCATGCATGTACTTATTGGACACAGACCACAGGTTAGACAAGTTGGACAACCGTGGCTGCTAGCTCATTATTCTGAACACACTGAGTAACATCGCAAACTCAGACGCAAAATAAACACTACGAATATAGAAGTATGAAAAATATCACTCTCTTATGTGACGCTTATTTACTCAAGGTAACCCATCTCAGAGGTGACTGAAATAGTAGCATGTGTGTGTATTTGGGAGAGAGTTTTACAATAAAATATTTATATTTAAATTCATAAACCTGCGTAGTAATTTAATAATACAGCGGTTAACATAAATACCTCCATACCGCAGAGTGTTTCTCTAGAATCTCGGCTAGTCAAGAAATTTATCGCCTTTTATGAAACCTGAAGATTTATTTCCGTGTCCACAATAACTCACCACTTCTCCCTATCCTGAGCCAGATAAATCCGTTCTTCCGAATGGTCTGTTCCATTCAGGTTTTTCGACAAACCTTTATATACATCCATGCGTTCTACACGTCCTGTCAACATTAACCTCGTTCGTGTGACCATTATAATAACATTACTGGTAAAAATGCAAATTATGAAGGTTCTCATTACGCATTTGCCTCCTGCAAATATATCCATATTTTCTTTTGTATATTTTCTGTTCTTAAAAGAAAATGGCTTCCCACAGTATATCCTTGTAAATATACATTATTAAACAATTGCTTCTGTTAGAAGCGAAATTGATAGTGGTATATTTCTGTCCGTATTTAGTCTCGAAATTAGTGGATAGGTTTTGATGAAATTGGGTATTGGATGTTTGTATGTAAAGATATCTCAAAAACGTTTGCTCGTATCGGTTCTATGTTACTTATACTTTATCTAAATCTCAATTATAAATACGTGCAAAGAAGCTGCTTTCTACATGACACGAATTATGCGTCTCCTTAATAATGTCTATAAACATGTATTTTAAACGTTTTTTCCACGTGGTTTAGCGCTAAATGTTAAGAAATACGAGGAATTGTTTCAGTAAAAAATTAAAGTGATAATATTCTAATATAATTTGACACTACATAATATCTGCTGGAAATGTAGCGTACTTAAATAATAGCGATCCATACATCCACGAATATAGGGCGATTTACCGCTGAGCTAGATAAGAACAAGCTAACAATATTCAGTGGATTGCGTATTGTTTATAACAATTGTTTTGAACTCAAATTTGGTGACGAAATTACGCAATATCGACGTCACATTTCTGCATTGAATTCCATAAAGCGTGATTCTTTATAATATTTTCTTTCCTGTGTATTGCAGCAAATATATAATTGTGTATTGGCGTTATGAAGTGGATATAACTGTGCTTAAAAAGGCTGAAGTTTAGAAAAAAATAGCTGTAACCACAGCTTGGTTCATCTACAAAGTGATGGCTTGCCACAGAATATCACGTACTGAATTTAAATTACACCTCATCACATAGGAAACGTGACAAATTGTCTCAAAAGCTTTTTGGTTAAGTACCTCTAACCTCCCTTAAATGAGGACATTACCTCTAACACGCAAATATCCTTCGCCCACACTTCTTTTCTTTCTACAGTCTTCTATCTTAATATCCCATCTTGGCTTTTAACCTTCCTCCCTTTCCTGACGCTCTGAGGTTCTATTACGTATGTTTGATGTGTGTGTACTTGCCAAAATATATTTTAAATTAATTGACTTCTTTTAATTAAAGTTATTGAAAGACTGAATTTCGCTGGGAGCGTCTCTAAGGAAACATTTCGGAAAGTCACCAGATTTTTTGGTAACCCGCGAAAAAATTCCAACCCGAAATGCCGTACGTGAATTATATTTCTTCAGTAAAACCAAACAGTCACTACAAATATCACTAGGTTAAATTTTATTTTTTACATGCATTTTATTCAACCTCAGTATCCACTTTTATATAATTTTATTATCTTATATCTGTTCCGCAATTTTCTCCCATTAAGATATCGCGTGTAATCCGTTGGTAGCCTTGTTACAGAGTCGTGTTTTGTCATAGAATATAGTTCGCATTTTGCACACTAGGATTCTTGATGGACAGTGACGTAACCTGCTCCAGTAACCTTGTCGTTCGGTTGTACTATCGTGGTTAAAATATCTCGTGTAACTTTTGCGTATTTAAAGTTTAATACATTTCTTGTGCGTATATAGGCACGATCAAATTTTTATCAACTTCTTACCAACTAGATTAGTATAAAAAGATTAAATCGTTGGAAAATTGTTTTGTTTTCTTTCAAAGGCATGCGAACATGCTGCCATTCATCGTGGGTGGAGGATGGTGGAAGCACGTTTCATGCTGTTCCTCCCTCCCCCCTGCCGGCTCCATTTAGTATGTGCGGTGTAAAGCAGTAAAAGTGTTAAAACGCGTTGTTATTTTCGTAGAAATTTAAATGTTATTTCCTGTGTTTCTTCTTGAATATGTGTATTATTGCTTACGCGGAAGAACAGAAGGGTTTATATATTATTTACTTACTGTGTTGACTAAGAAATACGTTGTGGTTTCTGAATGTAGAGCAGTGACTAGTTAGCAGTGGGTCAACCGGGCGTGTCGTATTGGGGAAGACAATATGTCGGACGCGAAGTCTGAGTAACTAAATGTAATTTCGGTAGCGTTAGTCGAGATAGCATGACTTGAGATTCGATGTGTATAAACCCGGAATAAAGCTACGAATTTTGTGTGTGTAAAGACGAAGTTCTTAGATGGCTTTAAATGTAGTGGCTAATTACAGTGCATCTACTGATAACGTTAAAGACAACTATTGTTTCCCGGCTACAGGTTGAAACTGCATGACTCACAGCCAAGCGATAACAACTTCTACTAAAATTATATAATGAACTGTACATAGTATCGTCTTGAGGACTGGATGTTATTGTGAGTGTGTGTGGATATGGAATTTCAGCATATTTAACCCGCAGACATCATTGTCAACACCTCTTATGTTATAATTAAATTACATTTAATATTTTTATGTAACGATACTTGACTTGCGTTGGGGACGTCTTGCAGCGATCGGCGGTGAGTCATGCAATTTCTGCCGGCAGCTGGAAATTGATGATTGCGTTTAACTTTATCAGTGGACTGAATACTACGGCTTGCCTGATTTTGTGGTAATGATCAGATTAAAATGGTTAGGATGGACTGAATATTTAGCTCTAATTTGAAAATAACCCTTTTGCTTAGGAAACGCCTTGGGAAGGTTGTACTTGGGACACCGTGAAGGTAAAGGGGGTTTATTTTAAAACAGACGTGAGGGACGTTATTTGTGGGTCTTGTGTCTTGTTATCAGAGAAGGTTTTGCTGTTTGAAGTGTTGGTGAAAAAGTTTGACAGTCGGTGTCACAATTTGCGCGTGAAAGTGCAGAAGTTTTTGGATTATACAAGTTCTTCAGCAGAAGAAATGTTCAACGACGCGCGAACGAGGCCGACAAAATGGGTAGGTAAGTACGAAATTTCAAACATTAATAAACAGGAGTTTATTGTTGCAAAACTAATTCAAGACTTTTACTGCGTTTTTTTTTAAATCTCTGAGCTTATAATTAGAATTTATTTGAAACTGTTAACTTCGGCTTTCGGGTTTTTCTTCAGCAGATTCACAAACGTGTTGTTTCTATTTAACATATCATCATTGGTTTCATTTGTATTACATTTAGAACGCGTATTTTAGTACGGGCTTAATCGTCTTGATCTTTTTGTTGTACATGTTTAGGTCCATTATAGACTATTTTCAGGATCACACTACTTGTGTAATTTATTAAATTACTGTATGCTTGCAACGGTTACATTTTAATAATGACAATTTCAAAACACGTTTATGCACCATCAATTATTCTTTTCCATATTACTGTTGTCTCTTTTGAAGTATTTACATTACATTATGAAAATTCCCCAGCAAGAATGGTAGGAAAAGCTGAAGTTGTACTTACGAAAAACACATTTTTTAAAAAATGTAACAAAGCAGCATATTTTAACAATTAAAATCGCTGCTTGTTTTTACTTAATAATGAACGCTGCGAAGCGGAAACACTTAAAAATTGTTTTTTCTGCGTTGTGTAGAAGTACATAGCAGGCCATGGATGAGTAGACTGTGTTTTGTTTCAGTTAATTGTTTACTGAAAGCAGCAGATAAAAAATTTACGCAACGTTTTGCTGTTCATGAGCGCTAAAGTGGTTTAAGTCGTTCGTAGAATACCATTACACCTCCTGCAACAGCGTGTAAAATATTGCAGTTAGAAACTTGTGTTTTTTTTTTTGGCGGATTGTCATTGGCGTTTGATGTTTACCTTTTACAAGAACAAAGTGTTAATGGAATTAACTGAAAATAAGCACGCAATTAGCAAATACCACCAGAAAGTTCCTGTTTGAAGTAGCGAGAATATTTTCTTTTTCTGGCATTCACAGTCTTGTGTTTTAAAATAAAATTGGAAAATGGATATTTTTCCGTCCGGTGATAGAAACTATCCGTCTTGTGGATGTGCCTGATAAAAGAAATTAAAGTTTTGGAAACTTTGTTTTGTAAAAGGACAAAAAAGTGAATGGACAATGGTCTGATAATTCAAACGTTCTGTAATACACTTTTCGCCTTAGATATTCAAAAATTGTTTCGTATAATCGTATTGGGACAGTCAGGTTAATCTGGAGTTTTAATTTCGCTGTCACGATGAAGGTATTAGGCATTAAGACTGGTCATTTGCCCCCAATCTTATGTTTTGGAACAGACGAAAGTAAATTTGTTAGCATTGTTAATAATTATGCAGACGGAGGTATAACTCAACACATTCTTAACATGGGTACTCGATGGAGGTGAGTGATTAGCTTAAAGCTCCACTTCGCGGGATTCTGTCATGAACCAGATGAATCCAGTCCGCACTCTCTCTCCCCGTTTCTTTAATATCCACTTTAATATTATTCTTATATTTGTACGTAAATTACGTGTTTTAAAAAAAGGAATATATATTTCGGTTTCGGCAAATTCCCATAATTAATTAGGATTATTTTCCCAAACAGTATTAATCAGTCTATTTTTAGGATTGAGACGTATTGTGTTTTCTTTGAGGTACGAACTGGGTTTTAAAATGTTATTTAGATGAGATTCATGTTCCAGGGGGTTACATTAGGATGTTAACCGGATTGAGCACGTGTAATGGCGAGGTTTCTTACTAGTGTTATTGGGTTTTGAGGTTAGTGCCATTTAGTTCGATAGGTTTGAAATTATAATTCTTCGTATGTAAAATTTAATTTCTCACATTTTCTTTTTCATTTTTAATGGTTGCGGCAAATAGGAGTACACGACTTCCATCAAATTACTCATCTCCAAGAGGTGGAGATTCGTCTCATATTCCTATTGGTGCAAGGCAAATAATGTGTAAAATGAAAATAACATTGTACAATGTTTGTATGTAAGAAATGATACTTGTGGAGGTTTAACGCCCATTTAGTGGTTGATGTATGTCTTGAGATCACGTACCGCTGCGTCATCTTTTCCTTATTCAGCAATAAAAATTCCGATTTTCGTATTATAACCATTGCAGTTATCAGTTGTAATCTACGTGCAAGTTACACGTGTCGTATGTGAAATGTTTCATGGTTCTTGATCATCGGACGAGTAGAATGTCAAAGTGGTTTCGTTAAGGGACCACGTAATACTTAACAGTGTAGCTATAATTATTTGTATCAGCCATCGTAATTTTTTTTAGGAACTTTGCGTTTTGTGCAATTTTCAGAGTAAACAAAAATTGTTTCCGAAATTTTTACCGCTTTACCAAATGACGAACGGGTACTGCCTGGGAACCTTCGTAGCCGAAAATTTATTCTCCCCCCCCCCGTTATATACGGTGTATCTCACTACTAGCTCATTTGTTCTCAAACAGAATTAACCAATCTGTAATTACAGTAAGTGACAATCACGTTGCATTAAAACTATTTGAAATTATCAATAAAGGAATGGCTCACAAAAAGGATAACCCAGATTTGAACCCAGGGCGAGGAGGAGGGCCACGCGATGCTCGGTGATTCATTTGTCGCACGGGACACTGACAACAGGACACGGTGTTTCATCAGGACGTTTCCTTTTCCGGTCACGCTTTTAAGCTCCGTGGATTGCCTGTGGCGCTAACTGGTGTAGGAAAGATGAAAGAGACGCCGACTATCGCTGTAACCCCAGTAACGCTGAACTGGCGGACAGATTTTGTTCCTGTATGTAGACTGTATTGATGGAAGCCGTATTGCGCTATTGGCACGTGTCAGCTAAATGATGATGACCTTACATTTCGTCTCTCTTCTTCTTCTTATTTTTTTAACTTCAATCGCCGTGTGTGTGTGTGGTTCAGGAGGCCATGAAAGGAGACGAGCTGCTAGCTTTTGATAGCTACCGTGTTTGCGTACGAAGCTGGGTTATAAAAAAATCTGTAGTTCTGTTTGATCTTCAAGGAATTTTGCGCTCCTTATTATCCTCCTCATCCTTCATAACTTTTGACGAGTGGTGTTGTAGTTATTTCTTTATACTTTATTGTTTACTAATACTTGAGACATACATTAAGAATAGTCTCATGAACGCATAATACAAGGCTCTTTAAATATTTCTTTTGGACGTTCCTTTGAACAGGACGTGACTTCAGGATCCCCTGTTTCTCAACTTTGTAACCTAAAATCAACACAGAAATCCTTATTTAGAATAGAGACGTACAAGTAAAAAGATAAAACTTGATGAAAGGAAATCAGAGGTTCGGGTAGGGCCTGACCTAACGGCAGCTTCACGAATGCTGTTTAAATTACAGAGGAAGGACACGGTAGTGGCCTATTTAAAGAGACAATTCCGTCGTTTGCATGCAAAAATAAATTATTCTTACGTTATTAATGACGGCAGTTATGTAATGTCAGATTGAGTGGGCCGACGATAAATAATATATTTTATGGGTTTGGAATTACGTAGTCGTGTATTTAAAGGAAATTTAATGACACTGTTTTAACTGCGTACGTTATATAGCGTCAGATGAAGTAGGCAGATGATCTTCAAACGTCAAATAAATCCGCACTATAATATCTGATACTTTGAAACGAGATATTTCGTACTTAGCAAGGAAAGTGTAGTGTTAGTTCAACTGAGTCGCTTAGGGAAGGTCGTGAGACGTCGTGCTTGTCCTGAGTTGATTTCGAGGTTAATGCAACTAAGATTAAGCAGTTTAACTGATGACCTGTTGTAGACGCGACCCCGCCATATCACGGGATGAACCCTATATTCATGATACAGTCTTGAAACACCATAAAAGTAATATGTAATTTTTTTCATATTATATATCAGGGGCAGAGCGTTAAAATTACTCGTGTCAGCCCGGCTAACACCTTGACAACCAATGATGGAGGCGGTAGGTTCCTCTAAAACGTCTGTTTGTTTCTACTGGACCACACGACGCAACATCTCAGAACGCAGTCATTTCTAACTGTAACTATTTATCGGTTGCAATATCCTGTCAAATTCTAATATTGATAGCAAATTAGAGTACCGATCTTTGGGGTATGAATTATCTGTTGCTGGTTTACATCGACATGTCGATTGCTGGAGGTTGCTCGATGGAATAACGCGGGAGTACATATAAGATTGTTTTCTGCTTTAATTTTATATTGTCTTATTTTATTCCTAACGTATTTGCATCCACATTTATTTTCTTCCTAATTTGTTAGTATTTATTTAATTTCTTATTTTATTGTACTGTTTCCTCCTAATTTGCTTATTTTTCTCCTTTATTTCTTTATCTGTCTCTGCTCTTTTGAAATGTCTGAATAGAAATTGTTTCTGGTTCATGGTTAGGTTTATTTGAGGTTACCTTGAAGGTGTGACTTCAGAATCATTTTCATTGGTACTATTGCCACCAGTCACGCCCGTCGAGCGCTCTTGTAGGTTATCTGCAAACATGCTCCTCTGGTGTCTTCGCCTTTATTTACAGAAGTAGGCCTTGGTAATACGAAGCAATAATTGACTCCTACGGCTTTGAGGCTCGAGTTTTTTTTATTTTTTCCTTGTGGGGTGAACATGTTTTAAGATGCATACTGTAATTCCGATGAATTCGGTGTTTATAATTCAGGTACTTACGGATGCGAATTTAAATCAAGAACACGTTACAATCGAAGCCATTGTTGCTGTAGACTGATGTATATTCTTCGACGTTTTAATTGTTGAGCCGTGGTAGTCTTAGGACTTAACTGCTGTAGTGAAAAAACCCCAAATCCTACTAAGCTAATGTTGTTTTTCCATTGTTGTAATTTGAAACGTCTGTTGGGTGAAGCCAATCTGAGTTACCAGACAAGAAGTTGCCCTTGATATTTTAACTACAAACGTCAAAGGTGAACTTTGGGAAGGAAATACATTTGCTTATGAAAGTTGTAAATTGAATCATACGAAACTTCGATATTACCCGGATATTAAATATCAAACAATGT